GACGCAAAATAGGAAGAGCCTGATTTTTCCTCCAGAAGAAACACAGCACTTCGTTTCAGAACGGCGTCAAGGAACTTCATTGGAATATTGTGAGTTTTAAGAACCTGCAATATACTTACTTGCTGTGAATTTGCATACAAACCCTAAAGTTTACAACTTCATAATCTTAAAACAAAGACAGATCCAGCAACGTATAAATTCCTAAAAACTTTCTAAAATGTAAGCGTATGAACGTGACAATTCTCCTTTTTTTTCAGCGAGTCATACAAAAACCATAAATACGTTCTTTGGGAGAAATTAAGTTATTGAACACCACTGTCTTTCAAACTCTTAATAGACTTAGAAATCATGAAATTATTAGACTTAAAAGAGGCATACACAAAAAACGTGACTGAAGTCTTTTCTGAGTTCAAAATGTTGTAACCCAGAACACGGGAACAATTTTAAAAACTTTATTATTTGTCAACTTCTAGCAACACTTTACATTACTTACGTGTTGCCTAGAAACTGAATAACAGCGAGCTATGTTACTCGTTCAAATGCGATGTGGCGTTTCATTGGTTTCTTTATAAAGCTGATCGCCTTATTTCCAGTAAACTTTAACGTTTCAAAATTCTGATACTATACTTAAGGTAAAGTTAAAGACTTTGTAATAATTAGCGTCTTAACTCTTTCGACTGAAACACTCTCGTGTATTAGACAGGAGACGGTGACTACTGAAACCACTTAGCCTCCTAACGCAGACTTTTTTTTTCTGAAGTGCATATATCTATAATGTCAAGTTATGTTATGCTATTATGCAGTCAAGAAGTTCATCTCCATCATGACAAAATCTCGCTATTCTATTGTTAAGTTGAACCAATTAAACTAACTTTAAATTCTCGAAATATGTTCTGAAACTGTCTTCCCACACGCGTATTGTAAAACATCAGAGCCCAGAACACTAACACAGATAACTTGAAACACGCAGGATTTGAGGTTTTCACGGCTGTGATCAGATGACAGCCATGGTTTTTCAGTTGAAAAATGTTTGGGCCCAATTAGTAAACAACAGATGAAAAAGATGGAAAAATCAGCTTCAGTCCTGGCACAGGTTTCGATGTTCAAGATATAAAGTCATAATTTTGTAGAAGTATGTCTACAATATTAGCAACTGTAAGTTTCTCATCATTATTCTGCAGTTGAAGTTCTGTGCTGTGCTGCTCTAGGGAAAAACTAGGGGCTTCCACGCTTTCAAAATATCAAATGAATTACTTCAAGTGCCAATGCTGTGCCAATTCGTACTTCACGAATTACGGCGTATCCAAGAAAACCGCTGTGTGGTTTTCTTCTGAGATACAGACCTAGAAAAGTCCTTGAAAGTATTCTGACAACTACTATACCTACATGTAACTAATACAATTATGTTCGACTATAGGATGACAATCTATCTGCACATCTATTTCACCTCAGTCTGAAGACTGTGACGTAAAACTACGAAGTCCACAGTCAAATATGCAAACACGGGACTTTATGTTATGTGTCATTTTAACACAATTCCTATACAGTATATACTTAAATCCTACGTCTTGCAGTGAAAAAAAAAAACTATACCCTAAATACGTTGACATCGACACATGGCATAAATTCTAAAGTTATTCTAATACGAAAGAACTAAACTTGTGACCTCTGATTACTGGTACTTAGAGAATCTATTACGTCTCATATACACGCTAAAATTTGGGACGACTTTTTATCAACTACATTAGCCTGCACGTTGTACAAGACTACCACAAATTTAAAACTACAGACCTGTTAAACATGCTATAAATAAAAGCATGAACGCACATCTACAACTTTTAATACTGCAATGTTTAACTACGAGCGATCAAATGAATAAGTATCAAGAAAAATTCATTTGATTCAAGACAATTAATACGCCGTGGTAAACTCCGGAAGCATTACATTATTCACTACATGAAACGTCTTGGTCTCACTCGAGACTAGCTTAATTTTTAAAACTTTTAACTATAAATGGACACTGAACGTTTCTGTGTTCCTAATCAACTGTTCCTACGCCCTAAAACGCTTTATTGTCCGTAATGGGATTGCTTTAAAGAAAATGGTAATACTGCATACCTCAGTATATTAGAAATGAACGCCGTTATTAGGAAGCACTGATAACGTGCTCGTAAATAGTTAAGATTTATACATTTATACGTTTAAATAATGCGCACAATCCCCGCTACTCATAAGGAATCTGAATGTATACGTTCCTAACACATAACACAAACTCAATTTTTGGTTCGTGCCAAGACTATAAACAAATGTTATATCTAAAATTATCTATCTACATTAATTTAAGACGTGAAACCTACTTGCGTAATGAAATTTTTTTGCGGTGAAAATGTCAACCGAGTACGTATACATTTTATTTAAAAAAATTAGTCTAATGCAAATGTTAAAATAATGTGTATCCTATACGTTTAATACGGAAACTAACTGTTCCTAAACTCTGTCGCATTACGAATGTGACTGTACATATTATTAAAAAATTTGGTGCAAAAGGGGAGTAGTTCTCAAAACGTTCGACAATTCTTAATACCATCTGATTTTGGAAACCCGTGCCGAAGATTTGGCACGACAAAAATACAAATTAAATCATTTACAGTATGTCAAAACTCAGTTTTAATACACATCTGCGTGCATCATTAACATTTTTCCTGCTCTCCACAGGTTTTCTGAGCATGGATCTACAACCCTTTGCACCAAACCCTTCAATGAGTTTTATATACACAGACTAGAGGGTTAACGAAATTCTTGAAGCAGTCTGGCACGGCTGGTTATAAAGGGATATGAGGTCAGTTAGTATGAATGCGAACAGAGAGTCAGCAGCGCGGTTCACAGAGGCATGGCATGCACACTGCCGGCTGCAGCGCTGTACACACCGAGATGCTCGAGAGGGTACGGCAGTAAGGTCAAAGGGTGGTGGTGATGCAAGCTTGCCAAGTGATTACCTGTGGGGTATGGAAGTCCGAAGCTAGGATAGCCCGAATAGCCACGACCTGCCGCATAAGCGGCGTACGCAGCGGCTGGGAAACCTGAAAAAACAAAACACAATCATCGAGAATGCTCACCAACACACAAAACACACATTCTATCTCATCACGAAACTCGGTGTAACACGCATCCAAGGACTCTTTCAATGACTGCGATATCAGTACTCCATCCACAAGCAATTTGGTTTATATGAAACGGTTTCCTTCAGGGGAAATCAATAATATCGGTTTACTGGTATGAAACGCGTTGAAAGTAAAAGAGGAAATATTTCTTTCGTATCTTAATCATCACCCTGTTCTCATGGCGGTAAATATGTCGGTGTTGTTCTAAGTACGTCCTCTGGACTAGTACAGATTCCAGCGTTTCGGAGAAACATATTATCTCCATCTCCACGGCCGACATCTGAAATGAATGAGAGGGGGTTGGCGCCTAACCGATCCCTGCAACACGCCCATTTACTTGGTCTTCTGCGCATCAGGACCGGAGTTGTTCCATAACTCCACACGGTGTAACACTCCAGAAGAACAACATCGACACTCCACCTTTAAACACTTCGTCCCTTAATCTCTGTCCCGTCTTTATTCAGCATTACTTCACGATCCCTTCCACACCCAAGTAATCTCACCCCTACTCCACCTTCTCAACGTCTCTTCCTAAAGTATCGCCCTCTTTTCAACTCATCCATCATATCACATCACATTGGCTATTTAGATATTTTAAATTATTACAGTTCGAATCCCTTTGACTTCAATGCCAATCACACAGGCCTTATTCATCGAAATTCTACTCTATGTGGTATCGAACTCTTTCAAAACCAAAGAACCACACTGCAAACTGTAAAACATTTGCTGAAATATGTTACCACTGATAAATGTTTGTATCGTTTTCTGCGAGGTACTAGCCCATTTACCCCTATGAAAACAAGCAAGTGTAAACGAATCAAGTAAACATACATCAAACAGGCGTTTACACAATACAAATATGAAATGTAACTTTTGTATCACCTTTCTTTCCTGCTTGCTTCCCAATTGTGATTTCATGCCTGTTTCATAGACATGTGTCTCGCACACCGGATTAATATTCAATTCAATTCAAATCCAAATGATATGCAGTACGGTATTAAAACACCGAATAATAAAGACATGTTAAGTGGTTCGATTTAAGTATGACGACTGACAGCCTGAGCCAATAAGATATATTACTGCAAAATGTTAAACCGAGTTCCATCATTAAAATGCTAACGTCATCCTGGAAACTAAATCGAAGTGCCAGGATCAACATGTAGGCCATGTTCTGAAGAAAGTTCAGCATCCTGAAGACTGAAAGTGACGTGTAATAGTCTACAAAATTATAACTTAAAGTATTATGAGATTCAAACAGAGAAATGCAACCTTCGTTGGGACGATAAAAAAAGTCCCGAAGCAATAAATTTGAATGTAATACTCCGCTTTATAATAATACAAATGATTAAAACTATGACGTCTGCTTGAAATTTACTATGTGTGAAAAACTATATCGATTATTCTAATTAACAAGCTTAACAGAATATAGTAAAACTTTTACGACCTGGCATAACTTAATAATTTGATTACATTTATTTCAACAAAAAAATACTGACTTAGAATGTATTATAGTTGGCAAGAAAAAAGAACTCTGGTTATTATTTGTTGCCAGATTATTATAAATTTGTATCATATATGGAAAAGGGATATGTCGTTATATAAAACAGCGGTTTCCACAAGAGAGCCAACATCTGAGGAGTATCCTGATATTTCATATTTGTGAAATGAGGACACAAGCAAAACTTGTTTCACACAAAATGACACTGTCGAGTATCCTCGATGTGTCTTCGTTTACGCTATAAGCCAGGTACATAAACTGTATCACGTAGCACGATACAGTGATATAAACTGACCGTTAAATTACATTACATTTCTTAAACAATTGTATTTTGACTCACGGACCGGTAAAACAGCAGCACCCTATTTTCGTAACATTTCACAGTAAAAACAGTAATTCAAAAAATTATAATTACAAGAATGATTAAGCGTGTATATTTACAGTACACGAAACAATTAATTTATGTGATATTAAAATATAAGAGACGCCACATTTACCCGCAACAACCAGGTCCTATGTTCAACGGTATTCAAAACTAAAACTTACACATATTTTTAAAACAGCGTGTACGGCAAACACAGCCTACACAATTCTCGGTTAATTTTAATTTGTGCAATTAGAATAAATTATGCCGCTACCAGTCCGCGGATCACCTGTTGAAAAATAATTATTTAAATCTGCGTAATTTTAACACAAACCATCAACGCATGCCGTAGTAAAGACTTTGACAAAAAATTTACGAAGTATGATAATGTCCGAGATACTTTTTGGATAAAAGTACCGTAAGAAATCATTACGAATTCATTTTATGGATAGTAAATCAGAAACAATGTTCTCTTTAGGGGATTCTTGTTCCTTAAACCTTTTCCTTAATCGAAGTTGGGAATTAAAATTTGTAAATGGCGTATAATCTTCACATTGGTGAAAAAATGGGCAATGATCAGTGCCAGTCTCGTCTTAAACTTCTATGCCATTGAAATTGGTAAATGTGTGTTTAAATCACACTACAGAAACATCATTGGTTATACATTTACAGAAATTAAAATATTGTGTAGTTTTAATTAAGTCAGAAACATCATTGGTTATACATTTACATAAATTAAAATATTGTGTAGTTCTAATTAAGTATTGTTTCTAAAATAAACGTCAAACTAAATGAACCCTAATACAAATATCCAAAACTTTGAAACAAACATTCTTTAACAACTTCATCTACACAGCAAATCTCTCGCTGTTTACGTTTGAAAACCTTCCTGCGTTAAACAAACTTAGCAAAGCAAATTAAATTGTAATATACAAATATATGAATTATACGTACCGTCAGGTAATGCCCCCAGCGACCACATAAAATCTAGAAATGCAGAGAAAGAACAATATTAGAATAAATCTGTCCAAAGCGTGTCAACTCCAGTAAAGGAGTACGTCCATTATAACAGGATCTACACATAGATTTACTGATTGCGGATTATGCCTTGATATTCACATACAAATGAAAATTAACAAGAAACTCAAGAAATGAAAGTGAATAATTTTCTAAAGTAGTTTTTGACCAACTAAACACGTACAAACGAAAATATGAATAAACTGTTAGCATCCATGAAATTTCATAACAGCTATTCTGATGAACGTTCTACTGTTGCATCTATTCTAGAGGCGGGATGGATAGCACAGGCACATATTCCAGCGTAGTCTCGATTATCCGGGCCAATTAAGAAGAAAACTCGAAAAGCACGAAGTCCAATACTGTCACGAATAATAACTTCAGCGTGACGTCACGGAAGGAGACGTGTGAAGTTCTGACTTCAGACACCTCCTCTATCTGGATGCTACATCTGTTCACACGTCATAGAACGTAAAAATACGTCTAGAATAGTGTGTTTACATACGTAGTATGAAAGACTGAAGGGTACGTCTAGAATAGTGTGTTTACATACGCAGTATGAAAGACTGAAGAAGGGTTAATAACTGGTTCATAACACAGTTTTATAAGACTTTAATAAACTCTATCACGACGCGAGCCGAATAATTTGCCCAAGGATAATCGGGAGTACGCTGTGTTTTTCGGCAAACATATTACAGATGAGAACTGAGTTAAATGACGGGAAAACCGAGTCTTACAGCTGCTCCGCACATTTGCTTGGGGAAAGAGAGTGACAAAAATGAGAAATGCTTTGCTAATCTGAGATATTTCTAGCAATAAGGTTCTTGCTCGAGTTAGGGGACGCTGTCACGAGAATATCCGGCCGTTCTGGGCAGAAGACACCAGCATATCCCTCTGAATGGGAAAGAAAGAAATCTGACGTCAGCGGATATAACTTGAACATTCTTTGTGTGGACTGCAGATGTGGAAATTCGATGTGACGAAGAGTCGAACGTTTCTCAACTTACAGCCTTCATGAGTCAGTCCATGATCCCACCTCCACTCTGAAGTACGCCGTTGTTCACTCAGAGGAGAAGCAGGTATCACACCTGAATAAATCGCAGCCGAATCACAGCCTAACAATCACTGGCACGACACGTAAATGTCTTCACAACAGGAGGAGCGCGTCCTCATGTTTGGGTAAGTTCCTGATTTATTTGTTTCAGTCTAAATTTGCACCATCAATCTCCTGTCCTAAAATATTTATTTTTAAATTTAGTATGTTTCAGAAAAGGCATTCTTTCTTGATATTATTTGTATACATCGCCCTGATGATGGAGGCAGTATGACCTCTGAAACGTTGGTAAACATCGACCAGACTACACAGCGCAACAACCCAGAAGACAGAAATCTTCTTAGGACTCTCTAATTCAGAGGCTCATAAGAAAAATTTGTTTGGAATAACAGACACGAAAGTTAAAATATTTGAAAAAGGAATTAACCACATAACAGATGCCATTACATATTGGTGCCTAAAACTTATCCAAGTAAAACTTCCTGTGTGCAAAAGAAATTTAATTCAATAAAT